GAACTGCAGGAGATTGTCTTGACCATGTCTACATGCCTAAATGCACTGAGTTGCCGCCATGGGATTGGCTGCTTAGAAATTAAGTGTTAACGAGCAGTTGGACAGTTGGTGAGTGTACGTAGTGCGGTATTGAGACTATAAAAAAGGCCTGAGATTAAATGAGAGTTGGGGGAAAACTCAGATGTCTGACGATGTAGCACTGAACTTATGAAGTGTTTAAGACAGCTGTAGGAATTCAAATTGTAAATAAATGTTTCCCCCCTCAGGAGGACAAAATGATGTGAATTTGACTCATTGTGTGCTAAATTTAACTTCAGCACCACACAAAGTGCCCCACCTACTAATTATGAAATTGATTATAGTGCAGAATACGAATGTTTCGCCAGTGGAGGTTTTGCAGACAGTGGAGGAATCAGTGTAGGTAATACTACAGTAAAATGCCATATAACATGGGTGGTGTCATGGTTTAAACATGCAAACGTAACTCCTGTCTTTGTAGGAAGACCCATATGATATGAAAACCTTGACTTTGCAGAACAACAATGTGAAAATATAGCTATGACTATCCCAACTTTGTTTATATTAGGAGATCAAACATACCCAGTAGCAGACAGTTACTGGATGTGCGGTGATGATATTTTGGTAAACACCTTACCCCTTAAGTGGGTTGGACTTTTTGCCTATGAATGAAAATACCCATTACCCTAGTGTATGAAGGAGTTAAAGACTCAATTGGGTTAGAAGGTAATTAAACAAGATCTTTTAGAAGCATACAGAATTATGGACTTAATGAAGAGGTTTATCTGGATTTAATTTGAAAAACTAGAGGTATCACAAATGAATTTAAAGCACGACATGAGGTCTTTGCAGGACTAGAATCCATTGTACCTTAAAAACGTTGAATATATAAACTATGTTTACTATAATAAACAGAGAATGGTTAACTTTACAATAGAAGGATTTGTGGTATTAGGTGACCAATTACATGAGACCAGTAAATGGCAATTCAAAATAGACAAGCTTTAGATTATATCTTAGCCAAAATGGGAGGAGTTTGTCATCTTATGGGTTTGTCATCTTATTGGTACCGAATGCTGTACTTACATACCTTTGAACATTGCACCAACAGGAACCTTTCACATAGTAATGTCAGGATCCCAGTTTTTGTGTTTGTCTGTTTGTCTTGTCTTTTGTGTTTCTCCCTTCCACCACCAGGAGGCGCCTGGCTCCGGTTCGCCTCCTCACACACCTGCAAGCTGTTGCCTCATCACTGGACTGCTCTTAAGCTGCTGGTTGCCACTACTTCGACGCCAGAGTGTTTGCCAGTTTGGGGTACTCTAGCCAAGCTGAGTTTTATTCTGAGTCTAGTCTGAGT